TCTGAATAGTCTGAATAATATCACTTTTGAGAAGGAGAATAGGGCAAGTGACTATAACAATAGGAAAAAGACTTCATTTTTGACTTAAGTAATTTTTGGAGAAAATAAATCTCGTGCAGTTTTGTCAAGATGAGCAATACATAAGGTAGTACTCAATTGTTTCTACTGCTTCGCACTCATACGAAGGATCATCTCTTAAGCTACGCGTATGCAAATCATAGTTTAACTGTATAAGAACTACTTTACAAATGTTTGATTTTGGTCGAGTCATAAAGGTTTTCTTAACTATACCAGAACAATTCTACTTGGAAAATGTTGATTTTGGAGATATCGATAAAAGAAATCGATAAAAGAAATTAAAGGCACATCGATACATTCGTTTTTTTCTATCGAATATTTCTGTTGTTCACTGGTTTTCCTGTATTACTGTGCCGGAACAAACAATTTAATACAACTATCTTTTGCCACACGAAAAGCACTAAATGATCAATTCAAACGTAATTTTTTACTACTCGGGGTGTTCGTATCTTCACTCCCACGAATACTCTTAAGAACCTCTTTGTTATTCAAAATCACATATCATAGTCACAATTATGAAAATGAGTGCACATTAAATTCGTGTTTATTCTAATTTTCAATTTTTCGTCCAGTGGTTTTTCTTATGTGAAATGTCACATAAGAAAAATGATTAAACGCTAAAGGTCTGTTGAAATGAAAGCGTAATACAAACGTGAAAAGTCCATTGAAGTCGGTCAGAAGAAAAAATCCTTGAAAGGAGGACACTCGCGGGAAGAAATTTTCTCGGGGGAGAAATCTTTAAATGTAGGACTGTTCCTGACTGTCCCTCTTATGGAGGACATTTGACAACCGTGACTAAAATTGCCGTTGCATTCACTACCCTCACCCTCACCCTTACATAACATCGTTCATTATTGTAATAGATGGAGTGATGAGTACAGCTTTCGTACAGAAAACTTGTTAGTTTCGAGGAACTCCGTGTATTATGTGTTTACCAGCGGAAAGAATACTTTTGATCTCGAGAGGATCTTCTTAACCAGTGTTTTTTGCGGACAAGACATTATATTTATTATTTTTTAGACTTTTTTTCTGTCTCCATGAGATGTTCTGATCATATCGATATAAGTGTCGAAGTGGCTATATTGAACAAGATAATCGTTATCAAAGTTTTAATGAATGTTTGTATAATACACACAAATTTCATAAGGATAGAATTTGTAGAAAACAAGCCAAGCTTGTATTTTTGCCATGTAAACAAGGGAAAACTATATTTTTTCAGACATCAATACAATTAATTTGTTTTAATGTACTTGCAAAGAACTATTTGCTGGTGATGGGAAATTTTGTCATTCAATAACTGTAAGAATGGTTTAATACATGTCTACATTTACTTTACATTTTTCAGCCTTTTCAAATTTCTATTTACAGATTAGTATCTGTATCATCAAACATATCCTATTCGAAGAGTTCATGTAACGTTGATGTTATTTCGATATGATAACAAAATGAAAAATATAAAATGGAAAGTACATTGATTAACACGTGAATTACAAAACAATAAAAATCGAGAGTAAATAATTATATGTACAAACTTAAGAAGTTTTTCAGAAACAAATAGCCGTAACAAAAAGAAAACCAAAGCAATCAGGCAATAAAAATATCTGTATATCTAATTAAATCTGACTGTTCGATACATACATCGAAAGATAGAGAATTCATTTTTTCTTTTTTTTAGTCACCGGACGACTAATACCAAAATCATTGTCAACACTAAGTACTAGATCGTAATCTTCACCTGGTGCTGCTGTTGTATGTGATCCTTGAAAACAAAATTGATCACCATCATTTTCGTGTCCAAGAATACATAATTTTCCACAACACGACCATTTGATAATTTGTAGTTGATCATCGGCACCATTCTCTTTATCGAGATTTGTTTCCTCTACGATGACTTGTTTACCGGTATGTTTAACGTAACATTCGCCAAACGTTGTTTGATAATGACGATCAAATTTTTTTGAACAACGTGTACATTCAACTTCAAATTGTTTATAATCAAAATATTCGTTTGATGGAAACAAGGTACGTAATGCCATTATTTTTTGAGGATCATTAGAATGAACAGCCTAGAATGAAAAAAAGCTAGAAACTACAATTAAATCAACTAGATTTGTTTTATGTAATAAGAAACCTTACCCTTAAAACTTGTGTTTCAATTCTCTCTGCAACTAAGTTTGGGATGATTTTGAGTAGACGTTGCCTTTCTTCTCTAGCATTAAAATTTTTTGATATTGATGAAGAAAGATTTTCATTTGTTTTTCGTTTATGTGGTCGACTCATTTTTGGCGTTACCGATGCTCGGTTTTTTGATGTCGTGCTAGCTCTTGGCATTAAATTAGGTTTTGATGCCGAGGTCACAGTTATTGTGGATTCCGTTTTTGGTGTAGCATGGGCTTTCAAAGATGTTGAAAGCGACATGTCGAGATGTAGATATATCAATCTAAAACATCGTTTAAAATGCCCTTACACAACTGGAGATAACAGAGAATTATCACATACAGTGTTAAAGAATTTTATAATTAAATGGAGAAACGAACGAACGATCGATCAGATTCTTTTTAGCATCATCTGTTTTCATCGAGTTAGAGAGAATTTTAGACAGAGAGAACCTATATTTAGGTCAGAACAGTCTTAGCGTCGCATAATCTATATAAATACAGTAATAGGTGGTTCACATATGCTACACACATAGCGTTAAGAACAGCATGATTTCACGTTGGCACTAGTGTTTTGATTCGCGCGCCTAACTTTTGAACATAGTCTTAACGATAATAAATTTGCTTCGTTCCTACAGCTTGATAAGCCGCTATTGGGCTAAGTTTCACTTTAAATTATTTTATAGAGACTAACATAATAAAATTCAGTACCACTATCTTTTATTTATTAGCTACGTGATTTTTTTGTATCATTCGTACCGAGGTTTTTTATGTTTTTTAAATTTGTCTCTTATTGAACTTAGAAGAGAAAAGCAGCAAACAGCTTGATCGATGCAAGGCGACATCTTTCCCATAATTAACAACAGGCAGCTCGCACAAGGACAGAATTGAGCACTTCAACTTCTTGTCTAACTGTGATTCTGTACGTACTTGTGAATCATTTGTCCTTTGTCACAGTATATAGAAATAGCTATTAGCTCTTGTTAATAGCTGTGATATATCCCTTGACAAGAAACGTCCGAGGTCAAAGAATCCTGATAGGATTATGCAGAACTCGCCCATGATCACATAGGATCTTATAGGATTCCATAGGAATAGGTAGGAATCTGGGAATCAGAAATGGTGTAGAATTCCATAGGATCAACTAGGGGTGCTTCCACAGAGATCCGCCCACTTTATACAGGGCATCTTGCCGCGAAAATTTCACTTTACCCATCGTGTAAAGCATTAAAAATAACCTAAAGGTCTCGCTTACGCTTTTTTAAAAAAACGTATGTTAAGTGGTTTTCTAGACACCTCAAGTTTTTGGTGAGGGTGAAACCGAAGTCAGTGAAAACGAACGAAACATTGCATAATTATACATCAAATTGTAGCTCTTGACAAGTTGATTCTAATGGTGAAGGAATTCGGTCTCAATCTAACTTTATGTTCGAGTGGCACTCAATTTACTTGAAAAAGTCACTCTCACCCTCACCCATCCTTATCCGTTAAAACCTTACTTCATGAAAAGAACATTGGGCTATTATGACTCTATATTCCTATTCAACATGGAGAATTCAACGTATTTCAACGTTTTCTGCGGCTTCTTTGTGTTTCCGCACCACAGTTTTCTAAGAGGGTTTCTGGAAAACTGAGGGTATAAAATGGAAACTGTCGTGGATAGCTGCATGGACAAAGTTATAGACCCTACTAAGCTGAAGTTCAGGATGTCGCACGTTTGGAAAAAAACACTTTTTACGTGGTACTTCTATTTATATTCAATTAAAGGAAAAGAATCTATTGCTTTATTCGCTAAAACGTTTTGTATAGTTTAATGAAATTCAGTTTAATATTCATCTTCTTTGGTTTCATTTAATTGTGGTTCTTGAAAACCTCTTTTCAAAGAAAAATTCTGTTGCACCCGTTGAAGAGAACGATTGTCCACACGTGTCTTTTTCCAGCCTGTCTGCGCAGATCTCTACTGGTGAACGAACAAGGTTTATATCCAGCTGGGTGCGAAGAGAGACAAAAAAATAAAATTATTTAATCACTCTTAACTTTATTCTTCTACTATCTTTAGCGAATAAATCTAAATTAAATTTCATCATTTGCTATATAGTGTACGCATCGTCACTACTAATTAATTATCGACAATCGATATGCCTGTGACTCACTGTCAACCAGCGCATATGACATAATGAGTACAACTAAGCTGTTGTAGAAAAGTGTTATAACAGTTGATTTAAAACAATTTTAAACAAGGTTCGTTCGAATGAACAGTAGTTAATTATGATAGGACGATTGTTTATCTATATTCTATTTTTATTTGTCATTGATCAATTCAAATGTTCGTTATTAATATGTCAACATTTGAATGCTATTTATGAAGAAAAATATCTGTCGAAGTTATACATCACAGCCTATTCATTAAAAAATAAAACCATTCTTTCAGGTTTACTCGACAAGTTTTCCCACATGGCTAATTTTCCTTGGGGTTAGTTGTTGGTTTCATCGTTTTTTTTGTTTGGAAAAAATCTCATTTAAATAACTGAATAATTTTTTCGTTTTTTTTTGATTCATAGATGTCATTGGTAAACAATTTGATAGTCCATTGTCTGCGCCGAAGTTAACACTTCATTTGGTAATGTCTAGTTGATTAATTTTATGACATTTATTGAAGTATTTTTTTGTTTAGATTTTAAAAAATCCATGGATATTTATTATCGTGTTCATCTATTTTTTTTTGCTATTTTTTTTTATTTACACAAATTTTAAATCAATCATTAATTATCACAGACGTCGTAAAAATATTAAAAGATGCCATTATCAGTATCACTTAATGGCTTTGTCGAATTTGTCTCCATTATCAACAGATCAAACAAACAATGATTCAGATACAATAAATCGATCACCATCACTATCACCATTAGGAACGACAAAATCACCAGCGAATATAATGACAATTGATTATAGTAGTGCTGAATCATTGAACAAATATCGGTTATTTTATCATGCATTCAAAAAATTGAACGAAAAAAAGAATGGAAATTGTTGGAAACAACGACGTTTTATACACATATTTAGTTATTTAGGAATTATTTGTCTTCTTTTTACTACAGGGTATATTAAAATTTCAAATAAACCAAATATTGACTGATTGACTATTTAAAAACTTATTTTTAGTATATTACTACTATGGTTAATTATTGTTGTTTCGAAAGCAGCAAACATAGAAAATAAGATACGGGAAATGATTCAAAATTCAAGTGCTGAAATAGCCACATTTTCAGAATACTCTGCATTGGTGAGAATTTTCGAAGTAAGATGATAAAATACTTGAATTTTTTTGTTATTGTTCCAGATGATACATTGTTTTTTGAGAGATAGTCTCGAGAATGACATGTTATTGAAAAGTATTGATAAAGGTATAGTATAATAATAATTAAGGAATGTTCCAGGTTTTATTTTTATTTTTGTTTTAGATGATAAGTGCAATTGTACTAATATGATGGAAACTGACTGTAGCTGTCATAAAGGAAGGTTAATGTACGTAATTTTATTATTAGGTCAATTTATTTTTTATATTCTCGAAGATATTGTTTAGAAATAGCACTAATCGAACATTATTGTTAGCATTCGATAGTGTTTCTCATCTTGTTCAAGTAGGACTTTTTATAATTGCTATGTAAGAACAATGCAGGCTCAAAAAAATATGTTCTATAGGTGATAAATACATTTTCAAGAAAATTGCGGAATTTTGAAAGTTCTTTTACCTTCTGGTTTTCGTACGTATTTTATCTCTTATGTTATTGAAAGTTAAAGAATGTATCACGACTGTTTTCAGATTACGTTTGATAACAATTATTCTGGCTGTTATGTTTATTTTATTATATATATCTCTGATATATCTATTGTTGAAAAATTTGAATTGGTCTCGTTTAAAATCATTGAATTGTACAAAATATGCTTTTATGTATGAATTAGATAATCTTTCTATTGTCTATTATTCATTAAAATTATATGGAATATATTTTATTTTTCAGTATTAGTCTTTGTTGTTGGACTGGGTTCGTTATCTGGTTCACAAAATTTGCTCTTTTATTTCCACATGTCATAGGTGCGTGTTCAGCATGTAAAGATTTGAAAAATGTACAGGCTTATAAATCGGTATAAACTTAGACTCATAAGTAGACAGTTTTAAAAGACTTTTTATTTTTTTTTAAAGTTATTCTATTCAAGTTCATGGTTTAATTTCACATTCTCACCATTGTTCAATGGTAAATTAGTTGATTTAGACAATATTGTTCAGTATGTATAAAGTGGAGTCTGCTGTTTCACTATACACTAATTCAAGTTTTGATTTCTTGTGACATTATTAGAGAATGTCAGAAAAATCGTGCCCTCTGGTCATTATCAGATTTTGGACATTTGGATATATTAACATTGACATCAAATCACGAACACGTATGTAAATATGTTGAGAGAAAGACTTTAACATTTCTATTAATGGGCTATGCTATGATGTTTCATTATTTTTCGATGCATTGCATCATTAACTTAGGTTTTTTTGTATATTACAATAAATCAAAGATGAACAGTCATTGCCAGAGTAAGACGAAAAAAATTCCTGATAGTAAACGGTTCTAATATCATTACCATTATTAGTTATGATAATCCTGTAATATCGTCCTTTTAAAACGGCATATCGGAGCGGCATATCGGAGTTTGTAGTGTTAGTTGAACATTGGAAATTGCAAGCAGCAGTTCGTCATAACAAATGTAAGGGGAAGGTTAATTGCGGTTATTAGAGATACCAAAGGTTTCTTCTATAGACTAAAGTTTCGAAAACTTGTCGTAAAAAACTCTTCCTAAGAGGTCGGCAGTACGACTACTCGTTCATGAGGGATGGTGTCTTGCTGTCCGTTCAAGAAACTGTGAGTTAAAAAGCATTCACTTGAAAAGAAAGATATGATTAGACTGTGCTTCTCAGGGGAAGGTCATTGGCCTACAAAAGTGATGTTACTGGGTTCGATTCTCGGTCGAGGCATACATTTTCTCTCTCGCGTTTGTCTCTCAGTTTCTCTCACGCCGCAAAAAATATGTACATTAATTAACATATTAAGTCCTGTTTCTCTTTCCATTGTCGATTATTCTTATTAAGATTCTCTCTCAAACTTACTTAAGCTTGTGAGTTTTCTTGGTATTTCCGCTCTTCCCCGATAAGACAAGTAGACTTTCAGCAATTGGCAAAACGGAGAGGGCAGCATTGGCGAACTTCCATAGAAATTTCGCTAATTGTCGAAATCCAAGGAATCATATTGGTGAGAGTCCATCAGATTCCCATCAAGTACCAAAAACCGTCCCCTAGTGAGAAACCTACTAAAATCTTGCTAAGATCGTGAGACCCGAAAATTTTAAGATTTTATAAGATTTTACTAAGATTATACTGTCTAAGATTTTTTTAAGATTGGGTAACAATTTGTTAGGATCTTAATAGTAAGAACGTTGACGTCCTTTTAATAATATTTATTTAAGATTCGCTCATAATTTTTGAATTTTAATCCGCATTATCCAATGCAGCAGTTGAACAATGTTGAAGAATGAAGAGAAATTTCATATTTTCGGGTGTCTAATCATGGATTTTGATCTGCATGTACACTCTCTAAAAAGTTGTGGAACACCTGTGAGAGAGCAGATACTAACAGAGTTTGGAAGAAAAACAACCATAAAATCACCCATCTTTTCGGTTACTTATATAGATGAATGAGAGCGGGAAGAATGAGAACGGGTGAATGGAAGTGGAGTCATTAAATCTTATCAAAATCTTAAAGGATAAAATTTTAGTAACATAATTTTAAGAAGTGCTTAAGACTTTTACTAGTGTCTGCATGAATTGCCAAGAATGTAGCGGACATTGGCCAGTAATGGCGAAATTCCACCGGAGTTTTGCCAATTGGCGAAAGTGAAGGCGTTGTATTGACGAAAGTTCACACGCCACTCGCCATTGGTGAAAGTGCGATTGCTGAAAGTCGTCTGGCGAAGATACGACTACTCGCTTTCTTTCTAGATGCCAAAGCAATTTGGTTATTGTTTTATACTTTATTCAATACATTACAATTTTACTGAACTATTTTGTCATTCATTTGTTGAACAGTTGGTTTGTATCAATCTTTTGTACACTTCCTTACGCGCTTTTACTAACTATTAGTAGATGTCTTTTTAGATACATTACTTGATAGCAACTGCATCAACAACCATGGGTCATTTATTATTATATCTTCTGTCGATTCTCCTTCGCAAATTCGTTAGGTGAACGTTTTTCTTGCTCTCGTTTGTACCGCAAACCTCATTTTACGCAATAGACAATTCTTTTAGATATCATTATGAAAGATTATGGACTTTATAGTTGAATCATCAAGCGAATTGCCAGTGAATACAACTACTACTACTTCTTTAATTACTACGTGTACTACAGATGCATACTAAATGTCTTCCCGATAACCATTATATCATCGGCAACAATTGTCGACCTATTATTGTCTGAGACATATAAGTGTTCAAAAGTCGTCTATGAAACAATTTTTCAAGATCAAAATCAACTCGATGCATCTGTTCACACTCATCTATAGGCATAAGTTGTCTCTTTCTGTACTCTGAAGAAGAATCTGTCTGGATGCTCTATCTATATTTCTAAGTGTATATTTGAAATATTTATATTCTAATAAATTTATGTACGTTTTTATACCTCTAAGGATAAGATGGAACAAACCTGTAGCGGTCTCATGGTTCAGAGATGAAAAATCATTAATTATTCTGGAATAAAAAGGAGGAAAGTTAATAAAGACAAGCGCATTGAGACTCAAATAACGTCTAGATGAATTATTTTGGTTACCTATCCAAAAGTGTAATGGTTCGGGGCTCATTTTTACATTCATTTTCGATCTAACATCCCTTATACCCGACCCACAGGAAAACTGATACCACTTCTGAATTCTGATAGATTGAGAGCGCGGGTTGTAACCGATGACTTATTTGAATACAAAATTTCTCCTAGAACAGTTTGATTGAAACTGGAGAAGGATCTTTTATGGAAGTCTTGTGAATGAAATACAAATGTCTCACTAATGCTGCATAGAAAATTCAACATTTATTGAATTTCTTCCAACGTACACTAAAATGGAAATTTTGAGAAAGGGCATCTTGGTAAATAGTAGAGAGTATGAAATTAGCGTAATGGAACCTGTTTATGTGTGGAAGAGAAGTAAAATACAGACGCAGTAAGCGAAATAAAAATTCCTTATCGAATCTATCAGTTTCGTGCTCAGGAGAATATTCAATTGGTCCTACCCTGTCGCTAAACTACTGCAGACAAAAAATCTGAAGGAAGTCTCTGGAAAACTTTTTATTCGATTTTAATACTAATGGGAAATAAACAGTGGAAAAGAAGTAAGCAGATGTAAACACTTAGAAACCATTGTTTTTCAGTTTCCTTTTTCTCTAGCAAGATGTTTTTTTTCTATTATTAAAATAAAGCTCATTAAACTAACTGAATTCTTTTCGGTAGAATTGTGTATATCATTGCTGTTATCTAACATGATCATTATGCATAAAAATGTTGTTGAATATTTTTTGTTATGTAGACTTATCATCCATATTTTTTCAATCATCATTTGATACGAGAAAGAGGGACACAAAAAAGGTGTATAAGAAAAATAGAAAATATATCTGTATCGAATTAGTTAAATTTCTTTTTTCTTTCATGTTTGTGGCTATTAATAGGTTTACTAATAGTCCAGTCAATACACTCGAAATATGACTGAATTATCGACGTATCGTTGTGTACAACAGTAATGTTTTGAAAAATGAGAAATTAAAATTTCTTAATTATTTTTTATATTATCACATAACAGAAGAATATGAATCAGAAGAAATTAGTGAATGGTATTCACAAGACTAAGCAACAGACATGGAAGGCAAATTCAACAAATATTGCAGGGGTATTATACATTCATAGATTCAGTTTTTTCAAAATTTTTATTATCGCAAAATTCTGATTAGATAATTGTAGTAAGATTTGTTATGGTTTTGATTTGAGGATGAAGGCAATTTACGTTTTTGTCATTGTACTGATTATAATATGATGACTGGTTCAATCAATCCTGGATATTTATCGAAACGAATCATTTTGATATTAATCGCAGCGATTGCTGCTGTCGGACTGATAATTGCAATAATACTTATTTCACTAGGTGAGTATTAGAATTATAGTGGACTGTCATCATAGTTTTATATTGAAAGTTTTCGATTTTACAATTTAGTCGAATACATCGTTTAACTAATAGTATATCATGTATTTTTATATCTGTGATTGAAATAGCTTTATAAACCACATACTTAACTCAGAGCTTTTAGTGTGATTGTATCTTAGGTATGTGTGCGCATCAAAACTGAAATATTATACCGAGAGGCTTGACGTGATTTAACGACAGGAGAATCACAGGTCTCAGAATTTTATGAAAAACTATGACCATTTTGCGAATGAAAGTCGTAGTGTAATGCATAAATCTAAAGTACACCGAAAAAAATGAGATTATTGTTGAATAAAGCTGAAGTTTAAGAGATATAGTGAAACTGTCTAAGAGTGTATGTAATTTGTTGTTAAGAAGAAAGATCTAATACAAAAAAGAAAATTTTTGATATTCTCCTTATAGCTGTCGCATTATCAACCAGGGAAAAGTTAGATTCTTCTAGTGTTACTGCTGTATCCTTGTTCACATACAAATCAACTACTTCAACGATTCAACGAACTACGATTATCTCCACTATAACAACAACTACAGCTCTTAAATCAATAAACGAGCCAACGATAGCCCCAATTATCACAGAATATAACGATGCAAATTTCGAAAATAACAGTATGGCAGCATATCAAATATGACTCAAAGATATTAAAACAATAAATAAGTCGCAAGGAACAATGTGTCTAATTATAACATATGAGACGATAAGTATATACTGTTACTAGCACGAGTGATACTACATGTGTGAAGTATCAGGTTTGGATATTTCTAATTAGGATTCTAAAATATTTCAAAACTATGTTGACCTCATTAGAGTCCATAGTTCTCTTACACAAACCCAATTGTCTTATTCACGTTTTTATACGGTTTTTCCGTAGTTTTATAGGCGTATTATCATTTTTTATACTTAAGAAAGAATGTAGGCTTTTGCCTATATTTTCTAAATGTTATAATTTGGCAGACACTTTCACAAAATTGTCACATTAATAAATAATAAGTGTGATTATCAACTAGCATCAGGAGATCGTAGCATTTTAAATACACAGACAACAATCTTCATTAGCAATCGCTTTACATAATATCGTATTTACTCTGCAAGAATCTTGCTTGAATTCATTGATCGAAATGGTGCATCAAAAAATTAGTCATTGAGATTTATTCAGTAAACAAATCGAAGTTATAAATTAATTGAGTTTAGTCTAATTTTAGTTATGGATGTGTTCAAGTGAAATATTCCCATCTTGTTGGAAATACAATCAAGCCACTTGAAATATATAGAAAATACACGCTTTATTTAATTTGTGTGTCGGCAGAGCTAGAAAAATGAAGAGATTTATTTTTTGAGGTTTTTCAAGCTCTTACAGAATTAGCATTCACGCACCAGTATTACTCGTGTATCCTCTACGGTCACGTGCTTCTTTTTTCTGTACTTGAATACTTAAATATTTAGTTAACTAAGTATTTTTAGATTTTGTTGTGTAACACATCAAGGATGGAAGTCCATGCTTATGTTTATGCCACTTTTTACTTAGACACACATAAAGGAAGAAAAAAACCGAAATAATATATCATAAAAAGTGACTAACACCATATGATGTGATTTTGTAAGATATTTACTATACTGCATTACATAAGAAATGCCCACCTATAAATGCATCTTTCAGAATGAAGAACTCTTATTTATTTTATTTTCTAAAGACTATATTTCCAGGTGAAACAGTACATCAATGGTGATTGTTTAGAACGTCAATAAAAAGAGCTATACCTTTATTATGCAAAGTTTAAGTGGCAAGGTAAGAATACTATAGTACTATTATTCATTATTATATTAATTATACATCTGGCTAAAACCAAATTTTACTGATGCATTAACATCTTGGGTCGAACCAATGATTACACCATCTCCAGTGAATTTTTCAGCTGGTGGTCAGTATGATTTTCAACTGATGGATCCGATTCGCTCTGGTAGCAATGCTTTACATATTGATGTTTATAAAATAAATGCAATAGGATATGATAATATTCCCAGTGTCAATGGTAGTTCATTATCTTTATCAAACGGACAAATAACACCGGTGTCAATGTCAACTCCGACAATGGGAGTATATGTCTTTGATTTTGGTCAAAACTTTGCTGGATGGTGTCAATTTTGACTAAATGGTAGACGCGGCACAACAGTTCATTTTCACTATGCTGAAATATTAATGCATCCAGATGCCACCGGGTACGTATTTCAATTGTGGTGATGGTATATTTACAGTCACATTTTTTTTCAATTTTACAGCCGCGCATATGGTGGAATAAATATGGAGAATCTTTGAGGTGCATCTTCAACTGACATCTATATTCTTAAAGGTGATCTTAACGGCGAAGTATATGAACCAACGTTGGTAAGACGTTTCTAGTCTAATTTATCGTCAATGTGTTAATTTTAGTTTTACTGTCCACGATTTTCGATATGTATCTGCAACGGGTTCATCCACACCTTTAACGAAGGATAATGTGACATGTTTTGTTGTTCATAGTGAAACAAGTCTTGTAGGTAATTTTCTGACAACAAATCGAATAATAAATCAAATTCAACATAATATTCAATGGAGTCAACTGTCAAACTTAATGTCAATACCCACAGATTGTCCTCAACGTGACAAACGAAAAGGATGGCTAGGAGATACGGCTGTCACTGTTAATGAAGCCTTATACAATTATGATCCAGCACTCTTTTTTTTTGAATTATTTAAATCTAATCGTGGATAATCAACAAACCGACGGATCTATACCTGATATTGTACCATTTGTCTCTGGTAGTTATGCAAATTATTCAGCTGATCCAAACTGGGGTTCAGCATACGTCATCATCACTTGGGAGTTGTTTCAACACTATGGCGATATGAATATAATTCGTCAGTATTATAAATCAAAATATTCGTATGTGTGAAAAAATATTCGTTCATATATCGAAAACTTATTATTACAGTATACAAAAATTGGTGGTCTCGTAAATATACCATCACGTTCTGGCGATTGGATGCCCTATTTTCCTCCTTATTCTGATATGAAAAATGTTCATTTAGTGGCATCGTTCGCGTTTCTTCACGATATCTATTTATTCAAAAATATGTCTCATTTATTAAATAACACATCGGATATAGAGCGATATTCGACATGATACAAGAATCTCTCTGAAGAATTCCATTCAACATTTCATAACTCAACGACTAATTATTATGGCACTGATGGAAGTCAAACATCACAAATACTTGCATCAGCATTGCCTGGTGTAATTCCATCGCAACAAATACGTTCATCAGTTATACAACTACTGGTCAATGATATACGGAATCAAACGATAAATTTAACAAGTGGCCTTATTGGAATGACAAATCTATTCAAAGCTTTACCAGATAATGGTTATCATACATTAGCTGTTGAATTAGCCGAATTAACAACATATCGATCATTCGGTTGGACATTTACTAATTCGTATAGCACAACAATATGAGAAAATCTGGACGGCCCATTGAATCAGTTTGGACCTTATGCTAATAGCCGAAATCATACTAGTATAGTGGCATTGGGGCATGGTTTTATTCTCATATAGCTGGCATTAATTTGAACGCATTAGAACTGATTATTATTCAGCCAAAAATGATTGAAAAAGATAAAAAATCTTTACTATTAAAAATGAGTTGTGAACTATGCACGCTAAAAGGAACTCTCCTCATTTCATATTCAAAGAAGGAAAAAGACACAATGAATAGTGCAAAATCAATTTCATTACAAATAGTTATCCCTCCGAATACGGATGCACTAGTTTTATTCGAACCATTAATTGCTGGTGGACGCTGTTCGAAAATTTTGGAAAATAATCAGATAATTTTCAATACGGGAAAAGTCAGCAATCAAACAGAGCGGATTAAATCCATCAATGAAGACGCTAATAGCTATATTGTTACTGTGTATGTCTCTGTTGGAACCTACCAGTTTTATGGGACCTACCAGCAGTAATGGGATGTAGTAAGTTAATAAGTAAACCGATAGTTACCTCTCATCTCATCAGTCCATTCTCGCTGCCTTTGTCTCGACATCAATCGTCTATTCACGATTCTAACTTTTCTTCTCAGATTCGCTTCATCCACTCACAATTTTGCATCAATGTAACTCTCGGCTCAGAGAACTGCAGAATATCTGATTCTTTATCTGGAACACACTCATATCAATTGAAAACGAAACGCATGATAAAAAAGGCATGACTAGTTCATTAATTCAACAACGTCAGATCGCTGCTCGATGACGCTGTAACAAGACTAAATAGTTGTTAAGAGATTGATTTCATGTTTTAGTTTAGAAGCCCGCTTGTAGCGAGCAGAGAAAAATTCGTCGTTAAGACTCATTGTATTATTCCTCACCACGGAAATCTTTAGTAAAAGGCGAAAGATTTATGCGTTTATGATGAGGAATCAGAGTTAAACAGAGACTGACAAGCTTGTAACTTATAAATGCATATGACTGCAAAACAAAATGGATGAGTGGAGAGAATGTATGAGAAATGAGTCATTTGTCGACGGATGTATCAGAAAGGAAAAAAGAAGAAAACAAGATTGCTATATATCTTTTTTATATTCTTCGTTTCTTCTGTAGCGTATAAAAAAGTAACTAGTATGTGACAATTGTAGTGTTAATTTTTAAACTATGGAAAATTTTGAAATCTTTATTCATTACACTAATGTACAATCGTTTTGAATCTGCTATAAAGGTGTTAGATTGGTTGCCAATGAGTATGTTAAAAAATTCTTCGATTTTTACGTATTCTCTCATTGAAGAAAATCTATAAATTCCTAAACGTGGCATAACAAAACCCGCATGAATAATTAGATTAATTATTCGTCGTAAAGAAATAAGTTAAATTCATTTTTGTAAACTGCAATTTTTACCATAATAAATATAAAACGCCTATTTCAAAAACATGTTGAGAAACGGATGTAATAAATACTGGTTCATTTACAAGAGAATATATTCTAATTTTTGCTATGCTCATCGTAATCATTAATCACAAAAAAAGCTTCGAGTGTGTTTTTTATATGAGATGATATCCGATTTAAACTAATCTCATATCCGCTGTTCAATCGATCATATATTATATTATATGCAAAAAAAGTAAGTCATTGTGCAGAAAATAGTTCAACAAAATAGCTTCAAATAAAAACGGCTAGTTGTAATCGTCCACCCTCCTCCATCTACAAATTATGTAAAAAAACGTTTCTTGAGCAAATCAGTATATATACTCTTGACTAAACGGTATGTAAAACATAAACACAAATCACTTTATTTACAGCAGATGTCTTTTGTCTATCAATACTGTAATCAACTAAAGAAAAAAGGTTACTGTTCTCATCTGTTATTAAACTAAACGTAATGATTTCGAAAAAGATTTGCTTTTGACATGTTTGTCGATGTTCCCAAATAAGATGATAATATAAATTGTTGAAATAGTTCTGTTTGATTTGATTTTCCTTCTAAACCATACCAATGCATGAGCGATAGTGTAGACGAAGAATTAAGAGCATTCTGTACTGATAGTTCATGTGGTGTAGCTATTGTTGTCCCTGTTAAAGGAGCCGATCTTTCATCAACAATGATTGGTACGATTAAATCTGTTTGTGATTTTGACATTTTTGTTGCTAATGATGTGTTTAATAGCGACAATGAGTCAATAGATGAAGGACTGGCATTGTTCGATGACTGACGACATGGTTTTCCGTTACGTATTAGAACAGGCACAGCCACACGTCTTGGAGAAGGCATTGTTGATAGTTCAAGTAAGCCTGAAAACATAAAATATATCAGAAAAAAACTGAATTATCGTATACTTTAAATACTAACTTTTATCTGGTCTTGCACGTTTCATCTTATACCGGTGATTTTGAAACCAAATTTTTACTTGCGTTGGCGTTAAATTGATCACACTTGCTAAATGTTCACGTTCGGGTGCTATAAGAAAGTTGTATGTTAAAATATTATTAATATATTATATTATTTGTGAAGCAGAAGACATATTAGTCAGTCGAAACCATCAAGGAGATGTATACTAAATACAGATTAGTGAATCGAATATTTGTTTAAAGAGTCTGATATAATACATTAACTGTCAAAGACAATTTATAAACAAATTACAGAAATAAGACAGCTCATTTAATAGATCAAGAGAAGAAGAGACGCTCGCTCTAGTAAAAATCTTAGACACTTCTTGAAATTATCTTACTAAGCTCTTATAAGATCTTATCCTTTAAGATTTTGATAAGATAATCTAAATCTTATCGTTTAAGATTTTAATAAAATTTAATGACGCTGGGAAAGCTCCTTTGTTTTGCTCTCACTCATCTATATAAGTAACACCGAAAATATGAGTGATTTTATGGTTATTTTTCTTCCGGACTCTCTAGTATTTGCTCTCTCGAAAGTGTTCTACAACTTTTTAGAGAGTGTACATGCAGATCAAGGCCCATAGTTAGGCATCTGAAGATATGAAATTTCTCTTCATTCTTCAGCACTGTTCAACAGCTACTTTGGATAATGCAGATTCAAAATTCAAAAATTTTCAGTGAATCTCGAATGAATTCTATTTAAAAAACATCATCGTCCTTACTATGAAGCTCCTAACAGATTCTTGCCCAATCTTGAAAAACTTTTATACAGTATAATCTTAGTAAGATTTCGCTTACATTTTCCTAAAGATCTTAGGAAAATGTAAGCGAAATCTTAGAATTTTTGGGTCTCACGATCTTAGTAAGATTTGTGTAAGATCTTAGGGAAATGTAAGCAAAATCCCAGTAAGATCCTAATAAGATTTTTCTAAGATTTGAGTAAGTTTCTCACTAGGGACAGCACTGACTGCAGTTTTCTACGCGTTACTATTCGATTAATTGAAGTAACGAATGAGTATAATATTGCGAAACTCTCGAGTAGTTAATTATCCAAATACTTTTTCTATAAGAGATTACTTTTTATTCAAGATTTTTTAAGAAAGAATAAAAATTCATTAAGAAAAGACTTTTTTGTGATTTGAGATGTTCTCCCAAATTGGAATTTATTTACATCAGAATTTACGTCTCAAAGGTTGTCTTCTTCAAACTTGGCTAAAAACAGCTGAAACTTAATCCTTTTCATTGTTTGTAAAACAAAATGGCTATTTAATTTTTCTTGTACCTTTACGAGTTAGGACAGAGGTCGAGAAAATTCAAAGAACTGAAAATGCGTGACTTACAACACTCTATACGTCAGGGTGCTAAAGACGAGAAAAAAAAATATCTGATAGTTTCGATCAATTCAGCCGACTGAGTCAAATGAAACTATCTGTTTGACAAAAAAATTTTCGATTGTTTTCCAACTTCTGGGGACCTATGGAAGGCTGTCAAAAGGTCGAAAACGTTTTTGTCAAACAGATAGTGTCATTTGACTCAGTCGACTGAATTGACCAAATAACCAACTAAACTATCAGATATATTTTTTCCTCGTCTTTAGGAGCCTAAGATATAGAAGCAAAGTTAACTGTTGCAAGTCGCCTATTGATCACTTTTGTAGTGCCTTTTCGTAGTGCATTATTATTTTATTGTTTGTGCAATACATTTTTGTAGATAATTTAATGGTGAATTTCTTATATAAAAGTTAAAGCCACATACAAAATATGGAGAGAATCATTATTTATAGACTATCCGTTAACATTGCTAGCATTAAGACACTTTATTAGAGATTTCTTGCATGAGCTAAAGCTTCTGAAATAAAAAATTCAAAGATAAATAGGCGTTCATCAAAACAATTTACCTGACAGATATCGTTGTTGACGAAAACGACGTTCTAGTTCGAATGTTTGCGGTTTAGTAAATAGTACACGCCTTTTACGGCGTTTTGATGAATTGTGACTATGTTGTTGATGTTTTGTTACATTTGATGAATCCTGACTGTCATCATCATCATCATCATCGGATTCATGTTGATCTAATCCGTTTTTATTACGATTGAAACCGACGCTAACCAGAGTATCATTTACAGAATTATTGGATGATTCACATGTTGAAGATTCATCATGTTCTAAGCAGACAAAAATGAGAACGGAATACGTAATTAAAATTGAAATCTCGTAATTTTATACGAGAAATATGAACTAAAGAATCCAGGTTCCAAATCAAATCTACTTTATCTTACCAAAAGCGGAATTTATTGTATTTTTGGTTTTTGTACATTCTGATTCTTCTAATATATTTATAGAATTACTTGAAACTACAGAAAAGTCATTAAAGTCAATTAAACAATCTTTAATATTTGTATAAATGTCATTATTTTGTTTATCTGAAGGATTCAATGTTTTCTGAACATTTGATTCTATGGATAATAGATGTTGTACAGAAAAATTCTTCATTTCAATTAATTTGCGAATCAAATGAACTACACAACATCATGTTTTATTAATTTTTCTGTTCTCTTGCTATATATCCAGAAACTATCATATTTAGAAAAAGTAAACTGGAAAAAAAAAAAGAAAACTTATCATCAACCAATAGAAAAATATTCTCGATTGAAGTGTGCATCCAATAAAGAAAAGGAAAAAGACTTTTTAGCACATAAATATACGTATAAATATAATAAGCTATTTTTTCTGATGAAATAAAGAAAAAGATAACATCAAATGTTTTTACATATCTATAAATATAAAGAGCCATTTAAAAACATATTGAATAATCATTCGACAACATTTGTAAGACAGTTTCTTGTCTTTAAGAGCTTGTATCACCACCACCTTCTTCCATTAATGTTATTACATCCCTTTTTTTCTGTCGATAAGCTCTTATTACCTAGTGTATTGATTACGCCTGCCAAAATTAAGTTTTCTTCTTGTATAAAGTCTTTCATCCCATCTTTATCGAGACACGGTACTAGTGAGTAAATACACGAGATTATATACTCAGAAAGAATTGAACAAATCGTAGACTTTTTAGCAACCAAGTTTTTATTCGTTATACTGTGAGTTTCCGTAACGAAACTGCTAAACATGCCTTGGACACATATAAATACTATAAAGCTATGAAAGTCGGTACAACCTTTTCAATACTCTCCTTGTACTATCGCTATTACTATACTATTCGCAACTGATTATTGAACAGGTAAATGTGTATATGTATAACAGTTTTTTTCTTTATCTCAACACTTTATCAACGGAAATGGTGGTCGAATGATAATTTTGAACGGTTGTTAAAAAGAGTGAACTTACAAACAAAACAAAGAAGAAAGTCATTTGAACTTGAAAAAAAAAACCTGCGTGTACATTCTATAATGCAATTCGTGAGAGTTTCTTCACGGCTCGAGGGATACTCATAATATTAACTTCCTGTAATGGAAACAAATTCAAAAGCGATTTAACCGGATACAAGTTAAAAGCAAACATAATATTGTAGAGAGAGAGAGACAAAGTACGATGTTTTCTTTTTTTTTCCTGTGTTTTTTTTTATTTTTATAAAAACACTACTACTATATTATTGCTAGTACAATGAGATAATACAACTGCTTTATTAGATTGCACTCTATGGACGCGTAACAGTTATAATCAATGGGATTAGATGAGTTTTATTTATTAGAACGACAGAAGAGGAAGAGAAAAGGGAGAAAAAATATTTTAAATGAGTAAAGAGAATTTTTTTAATGCGGTTCCAGGTGATTCAGGTTACACGAAGTATCATTACTAGATAAAATAAAAAGGACTTTAGTGATTCTAATGGAAAACATGAATGGATTCATTATATCATATCTGTTAATCAAACGGTTACCTCTGGGTAAATTCATTTGAAACATAACACGGTTTATATAGCATGTTGTAGACCAGCGGCGAGACTAAGTTTATTTTGTAGAGTTTTTCCAGTTCAATCACAAAAAAGACTTATCAATACCCAAATAAAAGTCAGTCTTTAGAAGTCGAAAAATTTTTACAGTACCGGGAAACATTTGAGGTTCAACATCTCAAGATTCAATGTCACTACATTTTTTTGAAGAAAATCAATGGTCAAAGTGCTCTTTAATATACAGCGAAATTTAGAAGATTGTAGGCCTGTGAAAAATGCCTAGTATGAAAAGTTTGCTGAAACGCGTTGATGATAGCGCCAACGCATACAGGTGTTCGACGGGCGAGTCGATTAGTCGATTTTATATTTTCGGCGTCTGTCAGAAGCTAAAATCGACTAGTCGATAACTCGTCAAAATTGGTCCAAACGGACTAGTTTTGGACTAGTGGAATACTCAGCGAAATTTTTTATTTGCTTGAGAATTGTCCACAGTTTCGCGGTGAGTTGTACCCAAGATCTTGGCTATGATCTTGGGTTAAGAAATGTCACAAGATCTTAGAAAAAACACCAAGAAGTCAAGATATAGGATTCTTGAATCTTCCACTCAAGATCTTGAGTAAAGCCGCTCCAGATACTGCAAGAGAGTTTGAGTGTTCTTTACATTTTGTTTTTATTTATGGTAGTAGTAACCATTGGATGTACGACCATATAGAGTCATACATTCTTCCTTAAACAATTATACTCAAGAGGGAAAAAAATTCGAAGTTATTCTAAGTGTGAAAATATTCGCACTTATATTTAAACAAGAGTGTAAAACACAACGATGAATCAAGAATTTCCAAGATCTTGGTACAAGAAGTCAAGAAATTACAGGATGTTCAAGATCTTGCCTTCTCGAAATTTCTTGACTTTTATATTTTCTTACCAAGATCTTGAATCAAGATTTTACTGAAAAAATTCAAAAAGTCAAGATCTTACGAGGGAACGTTCCCAAGTGTTCAATCGCTTTTTAATCGAAATCTAGTGGATTATAGGTTATCGATCATGCTGATTCCGAATATGAATATGGGAGTTCCCCTTAGCCCTTCGAAGATCCGGTCTTCTGGAAAACCAGTTTTTCAGAAACTCCAAAAAATGAGAAAAAACCTTTTATAATAACCTTTTACAAGATTGTAGCGCGCAAATTTATGATTAAAATGAGACATCTCCCAGCTCTACATGACCTTTCTTTGCAAAATTATAGAATTTATAAGAAAAGCCCCAAATTGTCCGTTGTCAGCTCAAAACTGCAGAAA